TGGTTTTCCAAAGAGTGCTTTGAATTTTCATTATCAATTCCGTTTCTTAATTTCAGTGCAATATTTTTGTAAAAATGATGTCAGAATTAGTTTAGCAGAGGATTTAAATGAAGCTAAATGAAATTCCACCTGAAAACATCAATAAAAAATGTATGGCTATTCCACCTGAAATTACCAATAAAAAAATGTTTGGCTATTCCAACTGAAAACACCAATAAAATGTGTGGCTATTCCACCTGAAAACCCCAATAAAAATATGTGGCTATTTCACCTGATAACACCAATAAAAATGTGTGGCTATTCTACTTGAAAACACCAATAAAATGCTATGTATGCTATCAGCATTTAAAATTTTAAATCTCCGTTTTTGAACAACTTTACATTTAAGTTAAAGGATTTTAATTCTTCAATTTTGTGATTATTATTGTTTTGCACAGCTTAAAGCAGTAAACGCAATCTAGACTATTTTCTCTTTAGAAAATTAAGTTCACCAATTAAAACGAAAAAAAATTTCTGGTGCTTTTTCCTTGCACGTTTTATTTTTATGTGTATTTTTTTGAGGCACAACATGTTTGAGTAAATTTAAAATAAACCCGGATTTTGCGACGCATTTCCCGGCGGATGATGAAAGGTTGTTGCTCCAAGCAATCAGATCATGAGTTGTAATTAAAAGAATGAAAGAGGGACAATCAAATTAAAACTCGTTTCGCCATCCGCGCATGCGAAAGGATGTCCTGTGACTTCGCATTTAACACGCTTCGCGAAGTGCGTACTATGTTCAGAGGTTCATTATTAAATGCGAGCCTCACGGTGCTAATTTTAGCTCGTGTGAATGCCAAAGATTTGAAACTAGGTCTCCAAAGTCTCTAGTGAAAACTGACTTTTGATGAGCGTCAAAAACTCTAATCGTAGAAAATTATTATGATATTAAATATTAAATCTATAAAATAACAACAACTAGCAGAACCCGGCATATGTTGTCCTGCCAAAAAAATGCATTGTATAAAATTACATATCGCTAATATACGTGCATACTAATTTTCATGGATATCGTTTGAACGGTGTATCAGATGAAATACAGCAGTACCATCTGGTGACAAGTAACATTAAAGTGGATAGCGTAAAGTAGAACATATTTTTCATACTCGAATACATATTATGACCAATTTTCACAGCGATTGGTTGAACGGTACAGAAGTTGATATACTGCTGCACCATCTGGCGGCGACTTACAACAAAGGGGATAGCATAAAAACAACCTCCATGTTTTGTCAAGCACACTCGAAAAATTTCATCAAAATCGGTCCAGCCGTTATGTGAAGTTCAGTGACAAACACATGTACAGAAGAATTATATATAAATATATATCAATTACAGCGCCACCTACTGGGTCCAATTGTGAATCTAAAACATCCAGGAACCCACTCAAACACACACACAAAATTTCATTAAAATCGTCAAGCCGTTTAGGAGGAGTTCAGTGACAAACACACGTATAGAAAAATTATATCGATTGCAGATTAATCCAACCGGGTCCAATTGTGAATCTAAACCCTCCAAAGATCCACTCAAACAAACAAAAAATTTCATCAAAATTGTCCAGTCGTTTAGGAGGAATTCAGTGACAAGCACATGTACAAAATAATTACATATATAAAGATAAACAGGCATTATAAATCCTATTTAGCGATTTAATTGCTTTCTTAAATAAAAATTAAAAAAAAAATGAAATCCGTACAGTATGGACTCCTACCTCACTTTACGAGATGGATCCTCTTATAACACTTACAATAAAAGATCCCTATAAAATGACATTCCTACTTTAAAGATAGACCTATAACATGAAATTCTGAAGCCAGAAATCGAGGAAATTCTCCCGTTGCACGACATTCATACACAAGTAAAGAGTTGTAGAAAATTCTCCTGTAAGACAGTATTCGTATTCAACTCTTGACCCCGCGGTGATATGCGTAGTTAGCTGCAATAGGATTTAAGCTCGAATTCATAGTAGAGTACATTCTAGTCACTGCTTTTAAAAGGAAAGAGACTAGATGGTGATTGTGACAGTTTTTCACATCGGGCAGTCAGGTTGCCTGGTGGGGACTTTCTCCGATGCGAAATTCTGAAGCTGGACAGCTATCTGTCTCGGAAGACAGATAGTTGTCCAGTTTGATATATTGACAATTCTTCTTTTAAAGAAGATTTCAAGAGATAATTTACGTTTAATCCTCATATATAACTATTATATCTAACTATATCGTATTTGCTTCAGTTAATATTGAATGATCAACTCCACAACTTACAGACAGTGGATTCTCATAGGCTGCAATGGGAATTCTTTTAACAAGGAAAATTACATAGACATTATCATTTCTAGCAGCCAACTATAGAAGTTACCGTTCCTAATTTCTCGGAAACATTATTTTGTGCATTATCATTATGCGGCACTTTTTACGTGAATGAAAGAAGGAAAAAAAGAAGAAGAAAAAAAAAACTGCAATCAGAAATGTTTGTTTTTTATAACGAAATCTGCCTTTGAACCGGAAAACTGACAAAGAAAAACGTAACTATATTTATTTTTATATATGGACACATATTTCTCTACCACAGGACACCTCTGGAAATGTTCTAGGGCACACCTTTTGACAACCACTGAACTAGAATATCAATGCCTGGTAGTATTTATAGAGAGTACGGTGACAGAATATATGCCATTCAATTGGGGCTCAGACTGAAGCTTGATGATCAATAATCACTACTTGATGAGGATTAATGATTATTGAGTCTCATTTCGGAATTTCCCATCATTTTGATGCCATTATTTAGGTAAATGAATATTCAATATAATGGAATGTGTTTTCAATGCGATTATTACCATCGATATATTTATCTTGGTTACAATTACTTAATATGCAGAATAATTATTTTCAATATTTGAAGATTATTCAAGCTGTTAACTGATTGGGATAACATACATCTAAGATATTTTAATCAATATGTTATCTATAAACTGTTGTGTTTGTATTCGTTTGAATCGTAACTTTATGCTAAATAATTTTGTCTAAAAATGGACCTGAAAACTTGAGTCTTGAAACTTCAAAGTTTTGAAATTCAAGAACTTACTTATTAATAGAATAATAATGAAAATCGGTATTTCAAAATAATTTAAATTTTTAACATAAAAGCTTTTCTCTTATTATTATTATTATTAACATTTGAGGGTAACAAATATGCACTTGCTAAATCATTTGAATACAGGTGCGATAATATGATTATTACGCGTGTAACGTCTCGGTCTATATTAAACCTATAACGGCTTCAAGATAGGCCCCTTTCAGGTTCATGGGAACACTTTAATTTTTATTTACAAGAATTATTGTATATACAAATACAGAACTCTGGGTTGTTATACAAAGAAATGAAAATTAAAAATATAAATTTGATCGCATGTGCACGATGACACCACAAGTACAGTTCTCCCCAAGGTCGGAGATTTTTAGAGTTCTATGGTCTACGTCGAATCTCAAAATTCGTGGTCTGCGGCAGACCTTAATTATCACACGGCATGATACACGAAACCACAAGGGGCTCACTTTGAAAACAGGTGGAAACTCCGGCTTGTTCTGTCACTCCAGAGAGAAAAAAGTAAAACAACATTCTTTTTCGACTCGTCGCAGAACTCTCTCCTTTCTTTTCCAAAAACTTCCCTTTAAGAAGATTCGTCAAGGGGGAAAGAAGAGGTCAACTTCCATTGGAGTATACACTTTTTCAGCCCATGGTCTATCACCAATCACGATGCAACAACTCATGGTATAGTCCATGCTCCATCTATAATTGTTTCGACCTGTGATGGTTGCACAGGCAATCGCTAATTTCAAGAGTCTCATTATCCATGACACTGAATATCTGCTATCAGATTTGAGTGACAAGTTGTTCTCATTAGTACAAAGCACTAATTTCATGTAATATAACTATCTACAACACTGCTTATCTGCTGTCAAATCTGAGTGATAAGCTGTTATTATCTACTTGTTAAAGAATATACATTCCTCTTTCCTGGGAACGGAATGCTATAACTCTTCCCATGGGAGGAATGCTACACTAGTATACAATAGTTATTAATATATTTGCCTTAATTACAAGTAATTGTTATACATAATAATCATTCTCACAGTTAGTGGAATATAGAGAATAATTATTAAATTATAAAACTATTAAACACATTTAAGTAACCAAGCTTTCTAATTCACGTAATATTTTATAAGCTCCCTCACACTTTATAAGCTTGCATAGACTTGCTTAGATTATTTTCCCTTCTTCACTGTATGCGCTTTCAAATAAATCAATGTGTAATATTTTAACCCATTAAAGACGAAATCCTTTTTCACTTGAAGGAAATGAATAAAATTTATTTTTTACACTGAATAAGACGCACACTGGGTCCATCCGCCACAGTTGTTGCGGGACAGGTAGAAGAATGGACAAATCGGATTCCAAGTTAGTCAAACAAAGCCATAAAGGGAACAATAAGTGAAAATGAGGGGAAAAATATTTATTTTATACGAGTTACAAAATGTTACATTATCGCAACGTCAGCTCAAAACAATTACTTTCCCATCACATGAAATTTTTTAAAGATATAATAGGTAAAGGCAAATTTACGTTTTCTACGTGTAGTTATAGTTTTGTAGAATAAAAAAATAACTTCATAAAATCTTTTGAGTGGAACTGCCATCTAGAGAATAACTCAAAAAGAATCCTTTCTTTTTGAGTTATTCTTTTCATTTGCAAAATTGTCTGAAAAGAACGATTACTCATTATAAAAAATTATCATGCGAGACCATATATATATATTCTTCTTCACTGGTGCAACAGCCCCATGGTGGGCGAAGACCGTCTGCTTACTGGCAAATTTCAAGACAGGACATGTTTTCTTTCTTTCGGGATAGGGTTGTCAGCCCTATGCCCAACACTCTTACAGTCATAGTAGACCTTGCAATGCCCGAATTGCTCAGCCGGTAGAGCGTTAATCTTTTAAACTAACGGTCCAGTGTTCGAGTCCCTGTTCGGGGGAGCACATTTTTCAGGGCCTAATGGCTGAATGGGGGATCTGGCGCTCCACAGGTTTCGGTTCGAGTCCCGGCTGTGCCGTGGATGTTTGTAGTGGTTCGGAATCCACTTTAAGGTCCACCATAGGTCTCGGTCTCAGATGACAGCAGAGCGTCGCAGAACCCAGTCAGACCTCTTCTCACCCACATCATTCCCAAATTGTAATGGGACAACTCAGCTCAAGGCACAGTAAATGTAGTGTGGTGTAGTAGTCACAGTAGACAGGAACCTACAGTTTAAAGTGGATTCTGAAGCACACAAGGCCCATGGCCCCGCCGGGATTTGAGCCCGAAACCTGTGGCCCCGAGCGCCAGTCACTCGGCCCATATATATATATTCCTCGAAATCACGGAAGCTTTCTCTACACCATGCAGTAAAAGAAATATAAAAAAATTATAATAAAGTAGTTTATGTAATACTACGTTTTCGCAACATCACTCTTCAGTGGGTTAAATGATACGTTCAATATATAACTTATCTATTTGATACCTGACATTTTAACTGTTAAATCTTTTTTGGATAAATTAAAAAAGAATACAAGTCCGCGTAAATGGTTGCGAAAGAGATAACACATTTGGATTTACTATTAGTTTTCTTTCTTAACACTATCTATTTTTAAACAGTTAACTAAATTTCGTTGATAACAGAACGATAAAACGTATACGATTGGAATAGTTAAGTCAAAACGGCATTCATTGTTAGGGTAGATGGAACTTCCCTCGTATGCAGAACTTTTACCCGTTACTTTTGTGGACAGAAAAACCTTGGCGAGTTATCTGCAAAGTTTTTCATTTAGATCTGGACCCGAACAATTTGTATTGAAGCGGGATTTCTGTTTTCGAATGTCGGACGGAAGTTTTTAGTGAAAGTCGTCCCCCACTTACTGAGCTCACGTGACCCAGCGGGCGGAAGTCGCGTGATCAGCAACACCCCCCGCCCACACATGTTGCGGGAACAGGTGGAAGAATGGACAAATCGGATTCCAAGTTGGTCATTTGGAGTGAAATAGAACGGAGAAAAAAAATTCTGTTGATGTTCTATATTTCATTATGAGATGAGAATGGAAAAAAGGTTCAGAACCCTCACAGAATATAAAAAAGAATGTGTGTTTAATTCAGTTACGTTATACAAAGTTGGAGAGATTAACATGGATTATGTAGAATTGACTTAAATCTATTGATTTATCATAAAGATATTGAATCGAGATGTATTTATTAAAATAAATAATAATAACGCCATCAAAAATTTATATTGCCACAAAAAAAATGTACTGTTTGCTTTTAATTTAAACTATTCAATCAATGAAAATAATTTTAAATAATTCAATTATTTCAAAATAATACTAATATGAAATATATTTTTATGAAAGTAATTAAATTTTTTAAAAATAATTTAATTAATTGAAAATAATTCTAATGTGAAATCTAAAATATTTTATGAAAATAATTATAATTTTTTAAAATTTAATTAATTGAGAATAGTTCTAATACGAAATAAAATATATTTTATCAAAATAATTATAATTTTTTTAAATAATTTAATTAATTGAAAATAATTCTAATATGAAATATAAAATATTTTATGAAAATAATTATAAATTTTTTAAATAATTTAATTAATTGAAAATAATTTTAATACGAAATAAAATATATTGTATTAAAATATTAAAATTTTTTTAATAATTTAATTAATTGAAAACAATTATAATATGAAATAAAAAATGTTTTATTAAAAAAATTATAATTTTTTTAAAGAATTTAATTAATTGAAAATAATTTTAAATAATTTTTTTTTGAAATTTAAAATAATTTAATATAATTTCAGTATATTATATTAAATATTTTATTTACAAACTATTAACTATTTTATTTGAGAACTATTGAACGTTATTATTTTATATTCAGTTAATTTTTAATTATTTCAGCTTCAACAAATTACAAATAAAGCTCAATTCAAATTAATTAAAATTGAAATAATTTAAAAATAAATTAAAATACAAAATAGGAGTTGGTTTCGAGATTTATTCTAAGGTTTCTATAAAATTTTTTTTTTTTTAATTATTTTGTTCTGTTTTTTAACGACGCTCTTTTTGTGTTTTTAGATTGTAAAAAACAGTTTTAAATAATATTATTTCCAAATGAATATTCATGACATTTAGCTTAAAAATTTACGGTGCATTTTTTTTTTTTTTTTTTTTTTCAAATTTGCAAAGAAAATGGGAAAAAAAAAAGCATTTAATAAACATCTTGGTTATGTTCTTGGGATCATTCACATTTTAATCACCAAAAAATTGAATTTTTTTGCTTTAGAATAACTTATATATCTGAATACTATAATAAAAAGTTTTTTTTTTTTTGAAGTACCTTTTTTATAATTTTGGTTTTAGGAAACTTCTAAAATATTAGTATTTTGTTATTTTATTCTACTCGTATTTTAGAAACAAAACTTACAATTCTGAATACATAAACGCATTCGGTTTTTTTTTATTTTTATAATTTTAAAAAGCGTAATTTCGTATAATGAATTATTGCAGTACTTTTCTTATTTAAATAATATATTAATCATATACGATCAATAATCTTAATAAAAAAATTAAAAGAAAACAATTGATTTTTAACAATGACTAAAAGGATAAAATTTCAACTTCCTAAAAATATATCGACATCATTTCTAACAATATATTTAATAAATTGTTTTAAATAAATATTTAATAAATTGTTTTAAATAAATATTTAATAAATTAACATTTCAAACATTTTAGTACTACATAATACCATAGCACTGTAATGAACGTAACTGTAATTTTTCTTTAAAAAAATGTTTGGTTAATTATTTTATGAAATCACGTGTGCAACATGTATTAAAATGAAGAAATTTTTAAAAAAAAAATAATAGTATAGATTTAAATTTGCATCACAAATAGGAGCTAAAATAGTTATTAGAGCGGAATCGAAAAGAAATATTCTTGTTTATTGAAAGTCTCACTTTTATTTAAAATTAGAATAATTACTTATAATTCCGAATTGAGATCCAATTTTAAAATGCAAGGCAATATAAGAAAAAACATTTTTTCTAATCAAAATGTTTTTTTCTATTTAATTTTTTTTTCATTAGAATCATTATAGAATTCATATGTACACTATAAAGAAGAAAAAAAAAAAAAAAAAAAAAAAAGAAACGGTGAACAAAATACGATTTATCTTATTGTAATGAAATTTCGTATGCAAATACCTTTCCATCCAACATACAAAAGAGAACAAATTTGTCTGCCAATGAATGAACAGTATTAGTTTGGTTAAAAAAATTTTTAGTCAACAAACCCAAAAGAAAAATACCGCATAGGATATTAAAGATCTGAATCTTATTGTAACTGTCTGCTTGTGTGGAGATTATACAAATTATGAAGTGTGCATTAATGGCTGAAGTGAGTTTACGGAAATAACTCTACGCTGGGTGAGAGATGAATGTAATGGTTAGTGAAATTTATAATATGAATCCAATTACCCGAGACGGATGAGTTACTTCACAACAAAAATATTGAATATTTGAAGAGTTTTTATTTATGCTGAATTTTTTACACAAACACTAATAACTGGATCTCAAAAACATTACAATTGTTCATTCGCTTTCAAAGCATAACTTCTATTCGAATTTGATATTCTGTCTGGCCAATTTGATTGTACCAATGCCTCACATGTAGGGCCTGAATGGCCGAATGGCTAGCGCTCTGGCGCACGGTACCACAGGTTTCGGATTCTAAGTCACGGCGGTGCCATGGATGTTTGTAGTGGTGTGGAATCCACTTTAAACCGGTCAAACATGATTGTAGAGCGTTGCGGGGGTATTGTTAATCCGCATCCGTGACTTATTTTCAAGCTGCACGCATCTCCTGGGTAGTGCTAAGTGAGTAACATCCGTACAGCGCTTACCTTAAGGCATCCAAGACAATTGCCTGAGTGACTGTCAGCTGCGTTGGAACAAAAAACAAAATCTGATTACTTTTAAGTTATCTATTGCTGATGAAAACCAGATCGTCAATTTTTCGATTGAATTTTTAAATTCTCTGGATATGCCAGAAATGCCACCACACAATCTTCGTCTGAAAATTGGTTCACCGGTCATTCTATTGCGTAACTTAAATCCACAAAACCTATGCAACGGTACATGATTAGTCATCAGAAGAATTACAGAAAACGTACTTGAAGCAACGATATTGACTGGAAAGTTTAAAGGCGAAGTCGTCCTGTTACCACGAATACCTATGATACCATCAGAATCTACAATACCTTTCAAAAGGCTACAATGAATAAGATGATAATAAATAAGTCGCAAGGGCAGACAATGGCTATTTATGGCTTGGACTTGGAGAATCCGCGTTTCTTCCAAGGGCAGCTGTGCGTTGCATGCTCACGTGTTGGAAAACCATCAAATTTATTTGTTTTGACGAAAGACAGATTAACAAGAAATATTGTTCATCGCTTAGTTCTTAGTTAAATTAAAGTAATGATTATTAAAAATTAAATTAGGTAAAATAATTATAAAACAGTGTTAAAAATCAATATTATCTACCTCATTCATTAAACATTTTCTATTCGTTGAAGCTTAATTTGAACTTTTCATCATTTTTTACCAATCAATCACGTCCTTAAACAATACCAATTATAGTATCCAATAATTGAACGAAATACAAGAAAGCCACAGCAACGCGTGGCCGGGTCTTCTAGTCTATTATATGTATATAATTCCCGTGTCACGATGTTTGTCCGGGATGAACTCCGAAACCAACAATCAGATTTTAACTTTTTTTTTTTTTTTTTTAAATGTGTATTTTGTTCCAACTTGAGAGATAGGATAGTTTTTAATCAGATTTGTTTTTATTTAAATGCAAAATCAATGATTTTTATATTTCTTCATTTGGCGCCATTGACGTCATTTGGCACAACTAAAATTTGCGATTTCTCATCCGAT